CCCCCCCCCCCCCCCCCAGTATAGATAACTAATTTGGAAACTGAAACAATTAATTTACTTAATGGGGGCTAAAACCACCCATTTGAGTTTAATGAGCTAGTGACCTGCAAGTTCTAATTCTCCTAACTAAACAGCAAGACCCCATGTTTGGTGTCATCTCTCCCTTTTTTTCCCCCCATTTCTTGAATAGGCCAAATATTCAGGTTTTGCTGATCTTAGTAAAATAGTTTAAAAATCCAAGTATTGACTATTACAGTGCACTAAGGCAGGGAAGCTTGGCAGTCATGCTCTGATAACCTCTGGCATCTCTGTTCCCTTTTGGCCTTGTGTATGCTTTGGTCTATGTTGGCTGCCAGAGCAACAAAACCTGTTTTTGTCTTTCTACTCTGACCGAAGCTGGCAGCATGGACATGGACACCTAATGTCCTGTAACCTTTCTGTCCTTTGGGAAAGCTCCCACCAGGTCCAGAAAACGTGTCACAGTTTCTAGCTGGGGAGCAGTGAACATGTTACACAGGACAATGTTTTCAGCTGGCCATCAGCTACCAAACATACATGACTTCCTACCTGATCAGACACTAAAAGTCTTACTGGATGGTTTGGTTTACAGTTGTATCAGTGCACTGTTTGGTGTGCCTGTTCTGCCCTCAGTGGGGTGTTTTGGTCTGTTCTTCAGTCCAGTACAAAGTAACTGTGGTGCTGTGGAAGAGATGCCTTAGATGCTTCTGATTTCTCAAGATGAACTTGGATTTACTCCAAGCAGAGTGGCAAACATGGGATTCTGGAGGGAAAAAAAAAAAAAGAATATCAGCTTATGTGAGTGCTCCTTGCTAGGATCAATACAGAATTTCTCCATCTTAGCAGCTTGGTCTTTCAGTTTCCAAAACTGCTGCTCATCCAAACTAGTGCCATCTCCTTGCAGGAATTATTGCAGGGTACAAAACACTCAATGTTTAGGTTGCTGTCTGCCTATTTCTTGTTCATCATCTCACCATCTCTCTCCAGGTTTTACACTTCATGTTATCCAATATTTCTTGTCTTTTAGGGATTTTCTTTACCCTTGTGGCATTTTGACATGTTTATTCTCTCCACAGTAGCAGCTGTCTAGAGCTCAGCCCTCCAGTGTTTTGATTCTAAGCTTTAGAGTAATATGAACTCTACAGGCTGCTTTTGAGAAACAGCAGTGGAGATGCTGGAAGGGGAGTTGTGTTCCTGTGGCTGTGTGACATGCTGCCTGTGTGACAGTATGTGTATTGTCACATTTTCTCTTTCCTTATTTTATAAAAGAGAAAATGCCTGTGGTGCTCCAGCTTGTTGATACAAAATGATTCATCAAATAATTCATGTGGTTCTCTTTGGGCCTTTAATTTGTAATGCCTCTGTTGCTTCTGACACTTTGCTGCCTCTGACATTATTCTTTAATTATTACTGAACATCACACACATGGAGTACCTTGTCTCTGTCTCATATATGCATTTCTCCAAGACACCTCTGAAGAAAAGGTGTGTGTATGTGACTGTACTTTCTCACAGGGCCAATAGATAGAGTTAACTCTATTAACTCTCCTTCCTTATTGTAGGGGTGTCTAATAAAAATGCAATGATGTGGAATTAATCTTAAGGCTTGGATAGTGTCTCTGAAGACAGACTGTCTTAATGACAAGGCAATTGGATGTGATGATTTATAGCTAGGGAGAGCGAGTTGCTGGTTTTTAGAAGAGTGTCTAGTGGGCAGATATCCCTATCACAGAAACTGCTGAATGCTCCTCAGAAGAGTACACTGCTCTGGAATGTGAGAGATGTGCATTATATTCCCTGTTTCTCTTTGGATGCACAGTCTGACCTTAAACAAGTCACTTTGCTTTTCTGTACCTGTTACATAATATATATAATATTATATTTCTGTGGTATATGTTATGGTCATTTTATGAGCTGGGACAATTTCTTGAAATAAATGTGAATGACCTCAGTGCAGTATGCCCACATTTGATTTGGGGCATGTGGAAACTATCACAGTTTTAATAAAAACTGCTGTTCAGATAGAAATTTGTCTCTCTCTTCCTCAATTTTCCTGTATAAAATGGAAACTAGAAAACTTTCTTAGTAAAGTCATACAATATTTTTCTTTGGGACAAACTTCTGGAGATACTTAGTTCAATCTAGACTATCATTAGGGTTGTGTGCAGTTGAGCTTTGAATGCCTTCAGTCTGGTAAACCCCTCTCAGGTTTCTGTATTTGTGTTTGACCACTCTTATGGTGAAAAATATAATTTTCTATGGAGTTGGAGATCTGCTTATGTTGTGTCATAGGAATGGTACTCTCCAATTCACTGGTCCCATTGAGACTCTGCAAATCACATTGCTCATCTGCTTCCCCTGGCCGTGCACCTCCCAGCTATTGCAAAGAATTACCTCTGTTCTGGCTGGAACCAGGACACATTACTGCAGCTCGTGTCTCTTGCCACTACAAGTTCATGGTGCTAATTCATGTTCAAGTTGTCTGCTGTAGCTCCAGGTCCTTCTCTGCTGGTTCCTTAGCCAGCAGGTCACTAGCCTGTAGTCATGTGTGAGGCTTTTGTCACTCAGGTGTAGGACTTTGCATTTATTTGCTTTGATTTACATCAAACATTGCTATCAGTCATTTGCTCCACCTTGCAATGCCTTCTCTAAATGGTAACCCAGTGCTTCTTCCAGTGCATCAGCCATTCTCTCCATGTCACTTACAAACGTGTCTATGTTGGTCCATCATCCAGGTCCAGCATTGGAGGTATTGATGAAGTGTTTTCTGAAAGAGCTATATGTGGGAATTAAAATGCTTTTGCTTTTTTCTCTCTAGTCTTTGTGCCATCAAACTCCTGTGTGTTCTCAATACTTTTTTGCTTTGCTGGATGAATGCCATTGAATAATGCTCAGATTTTACATGCTATTATTTATCTATTGAATTGTTATGCTTCTGACTTTTTAATGCAATTTGGGATACAGATGCATGATGATCAATCAGTGCATGGAAGTACTTAGGACCTGTGGATCAGGAGGAGAGGGAGCTGTGTGAAAGTCACTGTTAGAATGCCATTTGGGTAGGGAAGAATCTTCACTCTCTTGTGCTGAACCTTAAACTTCACTCAGTTATTGGAAAAAAATTAACCAAACTGAGTCTGTAGTTGAAGGTGCTGATGTCTCCTTGTCTTCCTCATTTAGGAACTATATCAGTGAACAGCCGGCGCACCCCATTCACTGCCAGCGGGGAGAGTGAGATCCTAGACCTGGAAGGTGACATGTACCTTGGTGGGCTGCCAGAGAACCGGGCAGGGCTCATCCTTCCCACGGAGCTCTGGACAGCAATGCTGAACTACGGCTATGTCGGCTGTATCCGAGACTTGTTCATCGATGGACGGAGCAAGAACATCCGGCAGCTGGCAGAGGCACAGAATGCTGCTGGAGTCAAGTCGTCCTGCTCCCGCCTCAGCACCAAGCAGTGTGACAGCTACCCGTGCAAGAACAATGCAGTCTGCAAGGATGGCTGGAACCGCTTCATTTGTGACTGCACTGGCACTGGCTATTGGGGTAGAACATGTGAGCGAGGTAAGTTGTGTTGTCTGACTCCAGTTACACAAAGCTGAAGGTGTGCTTGAGAACAAGAACAAAATCCAGTGTTCCCATAAGGCTCTCCCCTGCCCTTGCTGGTCCTCCCAATACTAAGTTCCAGTCCCCACAGTAGGAAAACTTTCTTCTGTGATTGTTTCCTTTCAGTCTTTTTCAGTGGCCTCATTTCATTGGCCACTACATTCCCTAAACCTTCTGAAGATCTTGTCTTCAGGTTCCAGGGTTTCTTTGGCTAAGTATGGTTTGTCTCCTGAGGTGGAAAGTGCAGCTGCATGTGAGAAGTCTCAAACAAATTACTGAAAGCTGTACCAGGTGTGAGCTTTAGTTATGGAGATTTTTCTTGCATGGGACAGATGATGAATCCCAGTTCTATCTAGGCTTCCTCTTTTTTTTGTGTAGTAGAATTTCCTTGATGGCTGTTTATGAGTAAAGCCAGCTTATGGTGGGATAGTGTTAAATGCAGCATGTCTCAAAGTTCATCTCTGATAAGGCAAATCTCTAGGAGATTCGTGAGAGATTCTCTGCATCATATTTGTATTCATACAGAATTGTGATTTAAAGACTGATGATTGGAGATATGAGGCCCAAGTGATGCTCATGTAGGCAGGCAAACTTTCTATTTGTTATAGATCCCATGGAAAGGATTTACTAATGGAAGATATTTGAACTATATATTTCCCAAGTATATAGGTGGTTCAATTAATTATTATCTTTATTATGCTACTAACACCATCAGAATGATGTAGGTGAGTGGTTTTACAGAAAAAGATGGGTCTAAGATCAGTTACAAAACAACCCTACCTCCCTAGAAGGCGTATTCTTCTATTTAAACCAGTCTTTCTGTTAATATTTGGCCATTAGCACTGCATTTGGGCAAAACTGCATTCACAGTACGCCCAAGAATTAACTGTAAACCATTAGCAGAGTCTTAGGTCTTTTAGTCACTCCTTTATATCACCTCACTTGGCACCATAGTGAGAGCATGTGTCTTAGAACTGGAAATTCAGATATTTTTCAACTTCTGCTGTAAATATTTGAGTAACACCTTTTCCACTCAGTGCATTTTTAAATATTGATCGTAGTAGCATGCCACTTACGAGGAAGAACATGAAATTTAGCTACAATGCATGAAATATTAGGGATAATTGAGATTTGTAATTCGTTCACTCTACAGAGGATTTTCTTCATTGCAGAAAGTTTTTGTCAATGACCAAAATTCTTCATATATGGATGGGATTTTTAGGTTTTACAGTACAAGGTCTGTGTTTGTTTGTAAAAATGCTCACAGCCAGTAATTCACTGCATGCTGCCTCTAAGCAGCAATAGTAGTTAATTGCCAGTGGGCCTTAAAACAGCTGAAGCATCAACACTGCCATCCGTGCTGGGGGAACATGGGTGCAAATGTAAGATTCATGGCCATCAGCTATGCCAATATCAGCTCAGCAGTTCTCTCTTTTGACTACATGGGATTTGAAAATTCTGGAAAACATCAGATAGGCGTTTTCTCAGCCATAGCCTTGGGAATGGTTTTGGCCAGTTGTTGTATGATTAGGTTTTATACAAACATGATAAAAGGAAGTGATACCATAAATGCATTGTTCCCCCACAAAATTGCATGTATGTTTGCCTTTGGTCTCTATTTAGTATTAGGAGTGACCAACTCTGTGATTCAGGGCTTTGTGGAGTCTGTCTCATGTCCATCTCCTAGACCTGACTCCCAGAAGAGAATCTAAAGCTAACAGTGACATAAAGAACAGGGCTCATGTACTTCTTATATATTGATGGTGTTAGCTTTTACGATTTTTATTGTCACTGAAAAGAAATCAGTAGGTTAAAGCCATGTAAGCATTTTAATTTGGGAGAAATTAATTCAGTTCAGGCCTGAGATCCATAACTTGGCTGTGCTCTGATGTGCATCATTCTGAATTAGGGAGATACATTAATGAATTAATGTCTAGCATGGGAACTTGAGGTCATTATACATATGTTTTAGAACCAAAGTGAATTTAAGGTTAATAAAAGTGTGATGAAATGTTCAGGACAGTATGAAAGATGTATGCAAAGGTCCTAATCCTGAGAAACTCATTTTGTCTGTAAATAGCAACCACAGACCCATTGCTGGTTTAGTCCCAGTGTCAGGCAAAAAGTGGCTATAATGCCTGATGTTCCTTGGCAGGAACCTTGCTTGGTGAGAAGCAGCTCATAGGGGATAAATATTTGAGGCTGGATATGTGAAAAAAGTTGTACAGATTGAAGAGCATTTGAGTCCAGAATATTTATGTGGTGTTACACAGAAGCCTCATACTGCTCAGATATAAGTGCTTAATGTCAGACAACTGCATTAGTGCCCACTGATTTTGCCTCCATGAACAAAAAGCATTGCAGGCTACCAATGATACTTTTCATTCTCCTGGTCTGACACCCAAGGATTATTGCAAGTTCTGATTACATCTCATCTGTGATTCTAACACTGTTGGAAGGAGAAAGGTTGAGATGGAGACTGGGAAGGGTGTCAAAGTGAGAGATGCTGCCATGCCACAACAGTGGCACTGCTGTGGAGTGGCTGATGAGCTGCCACAGGACCAGGGGGGCAGCCAGGCTGGTGCATATGGGTAGGAATGAAGAAGGAGCAGGCTAGATCTTCTAATATGGGACAGCTTCTGGCCCACTTCTCCAGTTTGCCATCTCTCACTTTATTCTTTACTTACACTTCTGTCCTGCTAAAAGAGGAGTGTAACTCCTTCAGCTCAAGATGTTTGATAAAGGGTTAAAGGGCAGGGGAGCCTAGAATAAAGAATCTCCTGTGCTTGGTGACTGTCAGAAAAATCACCCTTTTTTACAAAGCAAAACACATACTTAATATTAGATAAAATACTAAAAATAAGGAGGACATACGTACAACTCTAGGAAGAGAAGCAAATGATTACTTTGTTGTTGATGATCAAGTCTACCTCCCACCTTTCAGGTATAGGACTTCTACATTTATAGTGCTGTATTTCTCATAAATTTTATACTTTGTCATATGAAGGGCATTATACATTTAAAAGGGATGAAAAAGGATATTGATAGTGTCAGTTAGGAAAGAAATCTGAGTTCCTTTTATTCATGGTGCAACAACACAAATACATAGTATTCAGTATGTCTCTTCTATCTAAAGCCTGTGTGAGTTTGTCTTGTCAGTGAAATAACACCTCTGTATATTCAGCCAGCTACTCTGGATGCAACATAGACTTTGCTTGCAGTGATCTGCTCAGGCAGTACTTTTGTACAGATATAGAAGCCTTGCTTTAACTGGAGTTTGACAGGGCACAAAAGAGAGATCTGCTGCCAAGGCCTAAAATTCATACTTACAATTCCAGTATCTAATAATTATTTTGATATTGGCAGTGATGTAAGCAGACAAAGGTGTTAGCAATCTGAAAGTGTCATAGTTTCTTATAGTAATGTGGTTTCTCCTTGGGTAATTGAAATTTCATGGAAGAGATGGGGCAAGACATGGAAAAGATCATATTGTGCTTTCATGGGCCATAAGGGCTCAGTGCCAGGCGGTGAGGCTGAGCAAAGGCAGCAGCAAATGCTGGCAGTTAGCTTGATAGGGTCCCCATTTCACACCTTCCACCAGAGACTGTGATGACCAGGTAACAACACACTGTTGTTTTCTTAAATCCTTGCTTCTCCTTCTCTGTCACCTTTCCATAGTGGTTCTCTGCAGAGCTGTCTAACTCAGTGTGACTATGTTGCAAATATAGGAAAGAAATAGAGAAGAAGCTAATAGACAGGACACAGTTCCTCCTGCAAGTGACACTCTCACTGCCTTACAATGTGGTAATGATCTCACCTCCCCCTGCTCCCTGAGCTCTCTTGCACTGCTGTTAAATATGGTGAAGAGAAAGATTTAATCATGCCAGAAAGACTCCTAAAATGAATATAGTTTTGGATAGCTCTTAAATGAATCACAGGACCAGTGAAGTGGATTTATGATGAAAGTTATAATTGCAAGTGCATACTGAGATTTTGTGCTGAATTTGCTGGTTTTGCAGATGATTTGGGTTGTGGTATGCTGGGCATTAGGGGAAAAAAATCCCCAAACCTTGGTGCTTGTACTTTGGTAGTATTGAATCATTCTTGCATCCTGGATTTTTAGAATGTGTACCAGAGAACAGTGTCTGCAGTGCTGCTTATCTCTTCTGAAGTACCTGGTTTCAACAGGTCTGCTATTCTGATGGTTAGTTTGAAATAAAGGACTTAAAATATCTGAAATCCCATGGGAATGCTTCCCAAATGCTTTCTGATCATCAGATGCAGGGCAAGCTTTGAGGTAATTGACAAAAAGATTCCTCCAATGTGATGGATACCATGCTTCCTCTTGTTGCATGTCAGCTGCCTGTCCAAACTGAACCCAAGAGAAATTAGGGTGAGTGCCAGGTCTTGTCAATGAGGGCTGGCGAGCTGTTGCAGACATGCAGGAGGAGGGTGGGAAGTGTGGGTTAGTGCACCAGTTGTGAGGGATCTTTGGTGGGTGTTTTTAGGTTCTTAATGTCTTCTTTACCCTTTGCCTTGTAATTTGTTAGTGTTTGACATCAGTTGCATCAGGTGATTGCAACTCCCCGTTAATTGCATTTGAGATGTTAGCGGTAGGAGCTGGTATCTGGCTCCTGGAGGATGATGATGCACTACTTAGCTGTGATTACAGAGTACCTCCTCACAACCCTGGACTTTTCTGAAAGGGGCCTCAAAGCCCTGCCATAACTAAGCAGGAGGAGGGGAATGTGTGTTGTATTCAAATTAGCTGTTTTCTGTAGCTACAGTGAAAATGCCCTGAGCTCAAAAAGATGCATGAGGTCTGTGGTGGATCCTGAAAACTCACTGCACCCTTTCCTTCTACTGGAACATTGTGCAGAGGACAAGAGCCCAGGAAGGACACAAAGCAAAAGACAACTGAAAATCACATAATTTTAGACCAATGAGAATCAAATGTT